AGCTGACCAAAATGAAATGTCCGAATGTTGTCGATGAAGTCCCTGTAAAATGCCTCACCGGTTGATGCCCGTGTTAGCCTTGCACATAGTAAGTGGAGGTGTAAGTTAAGCACCCACAAGGCGTCTATCTTACCTAGAAAGGTGATGGAACGTGAAACCCAAACCAAAATTCTGAAATGTGTTTTTGATGTGGAGGGATTAGTTAATTGGAGTTGCAATATTGATTATCGTGCAGCATTCTCCTAAGATATTTCGGTCACAGTAGGATACCAGCTTTTTAAATGAATTGCTTACTGGCCACCTGAAGAAACTGCGCAACAAAAATGGCTTCTTAAGTAACATCAATTTTTTGACGTTGCTTTTTGATATCCTTATAACTTCATATGTGTTGTAAAGGAAATCTGCTTAAACGTATTCCTGCATATACTCATTTGGTAGCGAATTACGTCTTCTCCAACTAGGCTATCTTTCAGTTCTCTTTTCCATTCCCGAAGACATTTGAACTCAACATGCAGTTACACTTACGGTTAGGGTTTTCGAATTACACGCTGTATGCAAAACCATACATATATAGGACTTGTAAAAGTTTTCACTGCATTTGGAACCTCTTGTCTACTTCGTAAGTTGAATTCATAAACGGATTGGACAGATGGATTGGTATTTTATGTTCATTAATGATCTTATAATTAGACACCTTTTAAAAACCTTATCACAGCCCTTCTTAGCATAAATTTTTAAGGACGCAATTTTTACCCGAAATGAGAATGATAAAAAGTATTTTTGCGCATTTTTTCTCCATAATATTCTTGCATGTAAAAGGGCATCGAAAATCGATGGAAACAATTTGTACTACCTAAATACTGATATTCTACCTAGTACAGACTTCGCAGGGTACCAGAAAGAAACTTATTAAGTAGCCGATACCCTGCTCTGACTGAACTATGCTTAAACGATGCCTCATGATAATCACTAATATGTCCCATCTAACCGAAAGCATCTTTCTTACTTTTATTTAATGGGCTAGGCCAGATTCTGTATGTATGCTTTTAGTATTCTAAAAATCACCCAAAATATCCAATTTATTGTCTCTCTGTCTTCCA